GATATCATTTCTAGAAAGTTCTGACAAGGGCCGGAGAGGGAGACAAAGTATCAAACTTCCTGAGTGATACCAACGCCCGGTACAGTACACTGAGGGTGGGCTGAGGCTGCTGTGCCAGTTACAGTCCATGTGCGGCTCAGATGGACTCACTCGACCATTATGCTTCAATTTTACAACATACTTAGAGATTCTTGAGATTCGGCATCTGGCATCCCACAAAACAATGACTGAGATGCAGCACCACGCATACCACAATGCCATACCTGAGATATGGCACCGGTCACCCCATAGTGCCATGCCAGAGATTCAAGATCCTCCCTTCCACAATGTCATGCCTGAGATATGGCACCCCACATCCCACAATAGAATGCCTGAGATTCGGCACTCCACATCCCACAGTGTAATGCATGAGATTCAGCACCCCGCATTCCACAATGCCATGCATGAGATAAAGCACCCTACTTCCCACAATGCCAGGCCTAAGATTGAACACCCCGCATCCCACAATGCTTTGCCTGAGATTCAGCACCCCGCATACCACAATGCCATACCTGAGATTTGGCACCTGGCACCCCATAGTGCCATGCCAGAGATTCAGGACCCCACCTTCCACAATGTCATGCCTGAGATTCAGCACCGCTCATCCACAATGCCATGCCTGAGATTCAGCACCTCTCATCCCACAATGCCATGCCTGAGATTCGGCACTCCACATCCCACAATAGAATGCCTGAGATTCGGCACTCCACATCCCACAGTGTAATGCCTGAGATTCAGTACCCCACATCCCACAATGCCATGCATGAGATTCAGCACCCCGCATTCCACAATGCAATGCATGAGATAAAGCACCCCACATCCCACAATAGAATGCCTGAGATTTAACACCCCGCATCCCACAATGCCATGCATGAGATTCAGCACCCCGCATTCCACAATGCCATGCATGAGATAAAGCACCCTACTTCCCACAATGCCAGGCCTAAGATTGAACACCCCGCATCCCACAATGCTTTGCCTGAGATTCAGCACCCCGCATCCCACAATGCCATGCCTGAGATTCTCATCAGCTCGTTGTGAGAGTCTCATCGTTGTTTTTTGTTCACAAAAATCGAGGCGCACATATTGCGTTCAATGGGGGTTCAGGACACACGAAGCTGGCAGGGTGCTATGTTGCTGACACTTGGTGCTGCCACCTGCCACCCACTTCTGCAGTTGGCAATGTAACGACTAGGAACTTGGTTCCCTGAGATCTCGTGAGATGACAGATGAGATTTCCCAGCAATGCTCTGCTGAGGTCCCAAATTGATGAAAGCCGGAAGACTCATAGGTGGCACTGACACTTCCAATATCACTGTTGCCCTTTCCTCGTCACCGTTGCCCTTTCCTCGTCACCGTTGCCCTTTCCTCGTCACCGTTGCCCTTTCCTCGTCACCGTTGCCCTTTGCAATGCCTTATTACATAACTCCACGATGCCCCAGGGGACTTACCACTACCATCTGACAGTGCGCACATCTGATGGAGACGGACAGGAAACATAGGAAGCCGTGGAGATGTACGGAGAGGATGGTGTGCTGCTGATCCCAGCTCGCCATGTTCCCAGCTCTGTGGTCCTTCTCCTCCCTCTCTGCCCCCTCCGGGTGATTGATAGCCACGGACGTCCCTTCCCCGGCACAGCCTCCTGCAGACTGAGCCTTCCAGTATGACAAGCCCACAGCTTCCCAGGGGAATCACTTATTAATGAGTGTCATTTACACCGGCTGCTGGGGGCGGAGAACATTCCCGGGGCACAATACAGACCTCACAGACAACGAGCGATCCCTCTAATATTCCGAAGGAGCCGCACGCGCTTCCTGGACTCTCTCTACGATTGTAGCCGTAATAGTCAACTTCCAGCAACGCGGTTCAGTTCTCTCCGGGATACTTTTTATTATTATTATTATTTGCAATAACAATTAATTTTTCAGAACAATCTTTCTTGGCGTTTTTGTTGCGCGTTTCCATTGGGATACAGCCAAGTAGCCCTCGGAAACGCGCGTTCGTCATGCGTTTTTTACCGCGAATCGCGGTAGAAACGCTTGACAAACGTGCATAATCGATACGCCTAGGTGTGAACCCAGCCCTAGAAGGAGGGGGTAGACACAAAATGTCCGTATCCTGAAAATGTAACCGAATAAAGAGAAGTATCAGATACAGAAGTCAATTGTGTTACAGCAACAAAAGTATCAAAGAATTCCCCCGACACTCAGCCCTACGAGTCGGCAACGAAAACAAAGGGATTCATTTATAAAGGTTTGCTCCAGGTGGATGCTGCGCGGCACTAGTGCCCCTAGATGGCGCTGACGAGTATAGGAGATTTCATAAAGTTTAAAGAGGGACTTTAGCTATATATTTGAGATGACAGCAAATACACCTTTAGGCTGGGTTCACACCTAGGCGTATCGAATATGCGCGTTCGACGCGCGTTTCACGACGTGCGGTAAAAAACCGCGCAACATACGCGCGTTTCCGAGGGCTACTTGGCTGTACCCAATGGAAACGCGCAACAAAAACGCCCCAAGGAAGCTCCTGTACTTCTTTGGGCGTAGGGCATTTTGTAGCGCGTTCATACGGCCTGAAATACGCCCGGGTGTGAACCACGCCCATAGGAAATAATGGGATTTCGGTGTTTGAGCGTTTTGCAGAGCGTAGGAACGCGCTACAACACGCTTAGAAATGTTTAGCGATGACATTCTACACACAGATACTTCTAGATAATTGCCGGTTTTGTGTTCTTTATATACCTTATTTTTCTTTTCCTCCCCCATTCCATTCACAGCGGCCATTTTTACTAAGTGCAGATTAATATACCTCCCTTCCGTTCCTGGAACTCTGGCACATGTGACTAGGACATGTGACCAAGCACATCATTTTAGGGAAGGAAACTGCCTTTCCCTGAGATCTCGTGAGATGACAGATGAGATTTCCCAGCAATGCTCTGCTGAGGTCACCTTCCCAGGATGCAACACTTGGGCACAGATTACATCACTGATGCCCGAGAGGACCAGAAGTGGACAAACAGTAATTGTAAGAAAGAGAAAAAAGGTTTTTAGGTTATTTCAGATGCTGATGAAATCACTTGCAATGGATGCTGCTTCTCGATGTTCAAAAGTTTTAGTTTCCTGCAGAGTCGGCTGTTCCCCTGAGCACTGGTCCTTTATCCTTTCTTAGGGTGGCTCCTTTCCTTTGCAGTCCCCAAGCTAGTAGATGGACGGCTCCTGGAGACTGCTCTGTCTCTTGTGACGTTTTCTCGGCTCTCTGTCAGCCACCAAGATCAGTTGCTTCAGCCTACATGTGTGGTGACTCCCCCCCCCCCCCCCCCCCCCCACCCTCC